TGTGTAAACGGTGCGCCTTCCTCTGCCCGCCTCCTTCGGCCAGGAGCCGCTGAGGAAGCTTCCCCCCTCGCCCCCCACCCCCGCGAGCGTCCTTTGCTGCCGTTGTGACGCCCGTTGCTCCCGTTTCTCTTTTGGCCGTAATCGTGAAGCTGGACTGCGTCTAGATGAGACGTGGTTCTTGGGCATTTTTCACGGGATCTGGCGCTCCCTCTGCATCCAGTTCCCGCTTGATTTCCGGAGAAACTAGCAGGGCAGGGCTTCGGCTGCTGCCTACACTCTCTCTGGAAAACGCCTGTTGCTATGTCTGATCATCTTCTGTAAGCACTTTTCAATGCATTTTAGAAGTGAATTTGTTTGTTTTCATCTCAGATGTGGAATAGGTTCATCATCTATTAAGGAGAGAGAGGAGCTCTGGAGCACGTGGGGCAGCAGACCAGAGGAAGAAATAACTAGTCCACAGTCTGGACACATACTGGACGATGGGTCTAACTTCAGGAGTGTCCTGGTTTCAGCTGGGATAGAGTTAGTTTTCTTTTTAGTAGCTGGTAGAGTGCTGTGTTTTGGATTTAGGATGAGAATAATGTTGATAACGCACTGATGTTTTGGTTTTTGCTGAGCAGAGTTTACACTAGTCAAGGACTTTTCAGCTTCTTGTGCTCTGCCAGATGCATAAGAAGCTGGGAGGGAGCATAGCTAGGACAGCTGACCCCCACTGACCAAAGGGCTACTCCACACCATATGACATCATGCTCAACATATAAAGCTGGGGGAAGAAGACAGAAGGGGGGGACATTCGGCGTGATGGCGTTTGTCTTCCCAAGTAACCATTACGTGTGATGGAGCCCTGCTTCCCTGAGGATGGCTGAACACCTGCCCGCCGATGGGAAGTAGTGAATGAATTCCTTGCTTTGCTTCACTTGTGCGCGCGGCTTTTGCTTTCCCTATTAAACTGTCTTTATCTCAGCCCATGAGTTTTCTCCCTTTTGCCCTTCTGATTCTCTCCCCCATCCCATCGGGGGGGAGTGAGCGAGCGGCTGTGTGGTGTTTAGTTGCTGGCTGGGGTTAAACCACGACAAGGAGTTTCACATCAAAACACAGTTTGCCATACAAAAGTCAGCAGCTGACTTAGGTATTTAATAAAAAATAATTAATCTATAAATCATACAAGCATACACCTGCTGGCTTCAAGGGATGCCCTTTGCTTTTGAACTGGAAGCAGGAGTAAACAACAGATCCCTATTGATTTCTCCATGCTACTCGTGAGTCTTGTTTTCAAAAGTTGCTTATCTCATACAGAACATTTTTAACTGGATTTGTTTCTTGAATGCTTAACACAAAAAGACATCATAAAACTTCCAACATGGCTAACAGAGATAGAAATATAGTGGGTGAAATTCTGTTCCTATTGGCAAAGCAAAACTTGAGCCAAGTCCAGATTTTGCTTATTTTTTGTTTAGCTCAGGAAAATTCAACCTTGCATATAATTTCTTATTTTTTTTTTAAACTCAGATTTTAACTTAGTTAATCTATTACATTCTTTAAACTCTTAATGCCAACATTGTTAAATACTTGGTTGGTTGTGTTTTTTCTGGAAAGTGTATTCAACAAAATAAAATACTATTTTACCCAATATATCCAACAGCCAGAAAAAAAGCCTTACTGTCAGGTAAAAGGAATAGCCTGAGAGATGAATATAATTTTAGCTGTGAGACAAACTTTGGGTTGGAAGGCTAAACTTGCCTTGGTCTTAATCCATTGTAACATGCAGCAGCAGGTTGCAATGCATCTTACAGTGAGGGCTGAGTTAAGCTAATGTTTAGTGTACTCTCCTTCCTATAATGCACTCTCCAGGTTCATGACATGCGTCAATTTTGCTAATATCAGAGAATGAGATGGGGCCCTCTATGCAGCCCAGAAGAAAAGGGAAAAAAAATGCCCTTTTGGAGGTGGAGCGAGGGAGAAGTTATCTTGCAGTCACTGTGACTGCAGGGCACAAGATTATCACCAAAGTGACAACAGAAGGAGGTCAGGATACCAGACCTCCAAGACTGTGACATATGTTGAGAGGCAAAGTACCAGAGTGATGGTGGCACAACAATTTATGTATGTGGGAAGAAATATGTTGTGATTTAAACTCTATGTGTAATGATGCTATGACCAAGCAGAGACAATGATATGAAAACCTCATTTCTACGCTCCTGAGTTGCTAGTGGAAATATTAGAATATCAAAGCATCTAGAGCTTTCAGATAATTTTTTATATTTATAGACTAGATAAGAAATGCTCATTCCTCACCTCACCTTTTCTGATGGATAAGAAACCCAGAAGTTTCTTTAAGATGCTTTAATTTCTGTCACATGCAAAAGGCATTAAATTCCATATTGCTTTTAAAATCCTACCCTGTTTTCTCACAGCCATTTCTATCTCCATTAATATCCACTGCTCACTATTGGGTTTATCTTAACAGAAAACTCCCAGTGATTATTTTAATTCAAACATAAACCCAGCTCGATAATATTTTTAATGTATCCAAGTATTTGGATCATTCTGGAGTAAAAGGTTGTAGAACTGGCAAAAAAACCCTTCATTACTTTACACAGGTAGACAACAGATTTTTAAATGTCTGTGAAGTTTTTCTGATTAAATGGTGCCTGAAAACATGTCTGAGCTGAAGAAGAAAATGTCTAGGTATTTCTCAAAAAGAAATAAATACATATGAATATTTTAATCAAAAATATTTATTTCAAAAAAACCAGAACTTTTTGAATGAAATATCTTTTCATCAAAATAACCAAATCTTTAGCTTGATAACTATATTCTCTGGCAAGAATTATTTAACACTTTCTACCTATCCTTAGAATTTGAAATCTTAGATAAACTTGTGTCTCAAAGATATGCTATTTACTCAACAAAAATCTGGCCAGAGAAAAACGCGGAATCATTTATCAATTAATGTCTCATCTTTTATTTATATTCTCCACACAAAAAGTACTGTTAAGTTAAAGTTATGGCTAAAAGAAATTTCTAGGAATGCTGGAATATTTAAATTGTGGGGATCTAAGTGAAACTAAGAAAAGAGAACAAAAGAACTTCCATTTCTAACATGTCACAGGAGACCTGCAGGAGCCAAAAACTGCCAATGACCTTCAGTGGCGTTCTTACCTCAGATTAACTAACACAATTTATCCCCCTGGCATTAAGGTAGCAGCAAAAAGAAGACAATTTGTATTGGCAGGTGGTATTCAACCCTGCTTCAGAAAGATATTACTTACTGTTTTTCCATTAGCATCACTAACATTGCTATTTTAGTTCTTTGTTAGGTGGCCTAAGTTAGAAATACTGTACCCTTTCCCTCCCCGTTCATCTCACAGGGATCTGGACAACACACCTGACAAGGCATGAGAATTTTGCTGGTCTTCCGCAGTTACCCATGGCCTTTTATGTTTGAAAAGGATACATATTCCCCTTTTATACCAACAGAGTTTTTTTAGATAACCATTTACTTTCTACATTCTTGCTCTTTCCTAAAGGAAAAGCTAAAAATACATTTTCTGAAATGAAAGTATAGGTTTGCAATATTTTGCCATAATTGTAATTTTTCAGCAGCGGGTTGAGGCAACATTTTATGGTATAATTAAATGATTACTGACAATTATTTGGCAGCTGCATTACTATACTAGTTTTTAACTTTTTAACTTTTTATTTACTTATATCAAAAACAAAAGAAAAAAAAAGACTTTTCAAATTCCATTCTCCCATTTCTGTAATGTTTTAATTCAGCAGCTGTTTGTCAAATCATTTCAAATGATATAGAAAAATTACATCTTGTTTCACACAGTTTAAGAACACTGCATTTTCTGTGGCTGAAGAGCAGAAATAGCCTGCTAATGGCAAAGGAATTGCAACAGCTATGAAATCCAATCCTGCTGCACTTTCCACAATTATTTGGGTTTTCTTTTCTTAGAACAGACAAAGTAAAATAATTTCTTGAAATAACAATGACATAATAGCTATACTCAAAAATTAAGCTTACACATAGGAATATAGGAATTCCTATGATTTTATTTGATGTTTAAACATCCTTTCCATTTAGGTATTTCTCCTTATTCTTTTTTAATTAAAAAAAAAAAGAATATTCTCCTTTTTCTTTCTTAATAGAAAGAGAAAACTTTAATATACAAACAAATGAAAATTTTTTCTTTCACTTTACACCATTGTAAACTAGGAGTAATTGCAACAACGTCAAGTAAAACAGCTGTTGGGTAAGGCCAATGCATAAAGTGATTAAGCACTTTATAAAACTATAGCTGTCATGATAGTACATCCCATGACATTCGGTCAAAGTAAAACCTAGGAAAAATTATTTACATAAGTCAATCAAATAACACCTTGCCTATGAATAATTGGCTTTTCAGAAACATTTGAATGTGTGAGAATGTCTGCTTTCTATGCCAAATACTTTTTACTGAAAAACAAGTCCTCCCTCCCATCTTACCCTTCTTTTTGAAAAATCTTAGCTGACATGCAAGACTAGTGCCACAGGGAGATTGTAGCTGAAGTTGTAGATTAGCCTCTTTCTAACCAATAGGCCACGTTCCTCTAGTAGACTAAGTCTCCAGTGATGCACCATCTTCACTCTTTAAGAAGAAAAATTACAATGCATGGTAGGAAGCCCCAGGCCAGGGAGCTTATCCCATAAATGGAAACTGGGTGAGTACTTGATCTACCGGTCCAGCGAGATATCACCTCTATAATTTCCAGAGAGAAACATTTTATTTTAATCGTTGAAAAGTCAATATTTTCTTGGCATATTAATCTGTTAATTGTTTGTATCATTAGTATTAAATGGCAGCTGAGAGAAATTGTGAAAGCAAGCAAGATAACCAATGTTTTCTATTTTAAAGATCCTCAGAGATCTTCTGGAGCAACACTTGCAGACATTATGGACTAAAATGAGCTACCAAAGTTAAAATGTCCCATTCTTCAGGGGTGCTGACACTTGTTATTCCTATTGGCCTGAGTAGGAATTTTGAGCTTATAGCACCTTTGAACATGACGTAAGTTTTATTTAAGTAGTTACTTTTTAGGCACTCGAGTCTGAAGAAAAAAATAATTGGCTATTTAGTGTAATCTTATGAAAACATATGTGACTTGCAGCACTTTGGGTTCACATCTTAGAAGTATGT